TGCCCCAACCAATGAGAAGAAAAGGAGCCAAGATAGAGGCGCGTGCAAGCAACGGCTGATTTTTGGTGAATTTTTGAAAAAATTATTCGTTTTTGGGGATTTGTGTCTTCCCCATGGGGAATTTTGGGGATCCGACTTTTGATTCGTCAATCTAAAATCAGGCTCTATTATGGGCCAAAATTTCATCTTCGTAGCAGGGCTGGAAGTACGAAAGTGGGTCTAAAAGTGTCGATTTCACGTAGGTACCAATACGGCGAGGACAAGGACGTAAAGTCAAAATCAAAATCTGAATGCGGATCTGAATCTAAGTGTTTCTTCGAAATTCTTTCGGGGTCCCTGCGCCATTAACAAGACGCTTATCTGATGACATCCGGCCCTGCATCTTGCCTTGTCATGTCGTCTCTTTAGTTCTTAACAACGCCCTTATCCCTGATGAAAATTATTACACTCTTAATGCTGGCCGACCTAAGTTCATTCAACCACCGAATATAAACTGCCTCATGACTTTACAACGCAGGTCCGCTGCACGTATTTCTCCGTTGATTCCAGCACGCATATATTATTTCTATATTATGATTAATTTATATTAATAATTAATATTATTATTATTATTATTATTATTGTTGTTATTATTATTATTATTACTATTATTAGACTGACTGAGTTTTTTCCAAGACTGCTGGGTTTTTGATGCAACGCACCTCGAGCGAGCCAAAACTTTATTCAACTCCACATGTCATCAGACGTTGAATTAGTATCGATTTATCGCCGTTGTTTCAACACCCTAAGCCTCGTATCTCGAATTTTGACTTGCTAAAAAGTAAAACAAAGATTATTGGCAAATTATCAACTGTGATTATTTACCCAACTCTGAAGGGTTGATGATGAAATGTATAACTTGTTCAGCTGAAGCGAGAATTGTGCCAGCACTTCTAAGTTGATTCAATTCACACATCCATATAATTAAACCACTACTGCACCCAACTTTTTTGTTGTTCTTGAAGTCATTATTCGTGAGCTTTTTAATAGTTCAATTAATTTAATTAACCATGTTTTTTATAAAAAATTGAACTTGCGTTGATTCTTATTTTTAAAGGAACAAAAGTGAGCCAATGCGCCTCAGAGGTAGATATAATATAGCGGTGCTGTTAATCATTATTCTTAATTCCCCTAACTCATAACATTAGGCTTGTCTCGTAGCGCAATATACACGTAACTTCCGGGTAATTTTCATTGTATCAATGCAACGTTTCTCGCATTTATGACGCTAATCGAAATGCCATTTGCCTTTCAATTACTCTATTAGGTTATTTCATCTCTTTGTCAACAATGCCGAACAAATGACTTTTGCTTCTTGCGTATATTTCCAGTCATCTATGAACTAAAAATAAATGGAAAATGTGAGAAAAAAATCTCCAATTACCTCATTTTTTTCGCCGCACGTGTCGCTCGAGTCGTGCGGGGACTGCTTATTGCAAGCGGCCTTGTCATTGCGAAATTCCAGCCTTGGGAAACGCTTCTATTTTGCCACAGGGAAATGCGAGATTAAATCTATAGTCTCGAATCCTTCAACTTATTTGCGTACAAGCGTATAAAAGGTAATTTTTAAAATTTAAATCAAGGCTGGCTATGGTGAACTGATTATGTGAAAATCTTTCTCAAGTAATCGTTTTTTGTAATCATAATAACAAGAAGTATTGTTAAAATTTTTGAGATTCATAAAATACAGGCATTTATTAAGATCTTATTAATGTGATATCGTTTAATATTTTGTCATATGGGACAAAATATTTAAATATTTAATTTAAATTCCTAAAAGTTGCTTCAGCAATATCCATAGCTATCATTCATACCATTCAACAATATTTTCTATTATTCATTAATTTTCGATCATTCAGCATCATTCTACCATTCAAGACCATACTCTGCTCATGAATGGTATACGTGATCCCAAACATCACTCCCGTTCCCAAATAATTGCAAACCGAGCCCTAGCCTGCACCTATATATACGCCAAGCAGGCCATGTTTTTCTTATATATCCGCGGTGTAGGCCATGCTTTTTTATTACCACCATATAGGCCCTAGCCTGCATGCACGTATGCTGAGCAGGCCAAGTTTTTCCTTTATTTCTGCGGTGCAGGCCATGTTTTTCCTTTATTTCCACCATACAGGCCATAGCCTGCACGTACGCCAATGAGGCCATATTTTTCTTATATTTCCACCATACAGGCCATAGCCTGCACGTACGCCAATGAGGCCATATTTTTCTTATATCTCCACCATACAGGCCATAGCCTGCACGTACGCCAAGCAGGCCATATTTTTCTTTTATTTCCACCACACAGGCCATAGCCTGCACGTACGCCAAGCAGGCCATATTTTTCTTTTATTTCCACCATACAGGCCATAGCCTGCATGTACGCTAAGCAGGCCAAGTTTTTCCTTTATTTCCGCGTTGTAGACCATAGCCTGCACGTACGCTGAGAAGGCTATTTTTTCTATCTTTTAATTCCCACCGTACAGGCCATAGCCTGCACGTACGATAAACTTTGCTACACGTTATGCGTGGACCTGTGTGGCCCTGTGTGGACCATCCTGTGTGGTACATGTTGTTGTTGACAGGATTGTGAAACTGAATACTCAAATGAATAATCTCAATGTTTTTAAAATGAGTGTTCTGGTTCATTCAATATTCAAATGAAGAATATCACTCACGGAAATACGATACTCGACTACATGTGTGTACAATGTTTATGGTCTCTACGTGTAGTTTATTGTCTCTACGTGTAATGTTGCATGTGTAAGAACTTTACTGTACGAACGTGGTATGTTGCGTTAACGGGGGCCATTCATACGACATACTGCGTTCGCAGCGTTCCGTATTGCGCGTGCGTGAGACGAAGCGCGTGTAAGATATTTTATTTATTCGTACACGTACAAACAGTGCGTGTGTGACGCACTATTTTGATGTACATGAATTAATTAGGTTAGTTGCCGCTAAAAATAACTGAAAAATAATACAAAATGTATAGGAAAATTAAACAACAAAATGGCGGAATTCTCTTGAAAGTTTTTATTCTATACTCACCGGATTGCAATATCATGCAAAGTTTAGTGCATAAATTCATTGACTGTGTTCTGTTAATTTTTTTTAATTGACTATCATCAATAGCCAGTTGGGAAAGTCAATCAAACAATTCATCTTCTGTATTATGAATGATTTTGCATTTCCACAATCATATAATTATGGATGATTAGCTCCTTGAATTGTGAATAAAGTAATTAATAAATCCATTATAAATTAATTATTCATTGTATTCTGAAAACCATGTCTTCTCTTTCTCTTACTATCGTGAATAAAATTCTTCACAAATTTGATTTTATATAAATTAAATTAGTGGAATTCTTATATTTTTGAATTATAAGATTATTTGCTTCCTCTCCTTTTATATAATGAATAGAATAATTCCTAAATATGATTTCACACTGAATTATTCAATGTAATTATTCATGTATTATACGCCCACGTATTCATGAATTATACGCCCATGTATTCATGAATTATACGCCCACGTATTCATGTATTATACATCCACGTATTCATGAATTATACGTCCACGTATTCTATAATCAGCCATACAATAATAAATTATATTGTATTGTACTGATATGAATAATATTGTATTGTAAATAATACAATACAATAATCAGCCATACAATAATAAATTATATTGTATTGTACTGATATGAATAATATTGTATTGTAAATAATACAATACAATAATCAACCATACAAAAATAAATTATATAACAATAGTGCGCGTTGTTGTTGTCAGGACCAGATGGCGCTGCCGTCGGAGCCGGAGGAGCCGCCGCAGATCTTCTACGGGCCCACACAGCAGATCGTCACCAACGATCTCAGGAGCCTCGACGAAATGGTGAGTACAATACTTTTGTTCCAGCTTTACTTTGTTACTCATATTCATTTGTAAAAATGATGAGTACGCAGTACATTCGATTCAGCTTTATTTTGGTTCTCATATTCATTTGTTAAAATGTTGAGTATATAATCATTTAGTTTCAGCTTTATTTTGGTTCTAATATTTACAGTTCTAATTTAATCATCATTTCAAGTGTTTTTTTTTTCTGGAATGGTTGATTGTCTGTTGGCTGTTAATTGAATTATCACTTTAACGACGCTGATTCTGAAATTTTCATGTTTTAATAATTGGTTTGCTTTACTGCAGGCTCAATTAGATATATTTGCTTTTACGCTCGTTTTGTGTGTTACTTGTTTGACTTTTGGGTAATCATTCCAATATAAACTTTAACAGTGGAATTAAAGTATCGGTTCAATCTTTCACTTATCTTGTGGACCTTGGTCATGTTAACCTTTTTTGTATTTCAATCTTCGTATGATATAAAAATTTGTATTATTTAGGTTATCGACAAATCAGTACTTGATAATGTATGTTACGATCAGTCCTTATTATAGATGGATTCATAATTATTTGTTTTAATGTTTGAATAAATTTAATTTGGTGTGGTCAATGCCATCTTTTTATCGTGTCATCGCATCACCCATCATGTTGGATTCATCTAGTAACGATAGGTGAGTGCTGCGCTCAAACAAAACTAAATGAATGAATACAAATAGATAATCAAGTAGTAAACCCCTATTTTTAGCGCATTATCTCATTTATGAAAAAAGGCGCTATTGTGCTCATGTTCGTCTGTCCGTCTGTCTGTCTGTCTGTCTGTCTGTCTGTCTGTCTGTCTGTCCGTCTGTCTGTCCGTCCGTGAATTCACTCACGTTTTCGTCGACGAGAAAATGCGCTTTCCGTCACTCACTGCAGTGAGTACTGAGTAATATTTTTTTATTTTTACTCATCACATTTAGTTAAAATGCGCATTTTAAGAACGAAGACAATCTTCCATGTATTATTATCACACTTCAATGGCCCACTGGGAGGACCAAATGTATGTAATGGGACAATATTATTTATTCGCTCATTGATCTGTTCAATTTTCCATGTCCGTTAACTGGGATTCAGCTGAACGATAATTTTTTGAGTGAGTATTTAATGTTCTTGTCGACATTATTATCACAAAATGAAATAACACTGAAATCCCTGTATGAAAACGTAATTAATATAATAGTTTGTTTTTTGTTTATAAATACTTTCAATCATAATAAGATCTTCTATTGTAAAGTTATTGTTATTTCATCTGCATTTGAAAAATATTCTTGGTAAAGCACGTCTTGTTCATCCTTAGAGCTTGCCTTGCCTAGAGCATTCTCATATACAGTGTGTGGTCGTCAATTAATCTCCTTATTGCTGTTACCGTTTTAAACTACCTATTATCGTATCACAAGTGTGATGTATCACAAGCTCATACGAAGAAAATTGCAATGCAGAACTGCGATGACATATAATTTTCCTCATTGTACTTATCCTTGTTGTTAAAAAGTTGAATTACATAAATCTTTTATCGATAATGCTTCAGAGGTGATAAATTTAGGAGTCTTGACTTAACTTAAAAAACAATGAGCGAGTCATTCCGCACCATTTGCATAGTCACCATGCAAAAATCATTAGATTTCTTACACGTCGATATATAGAAATAACAAAATTTTAACTGCTGATTGCAAACTACTTCTGAGTGAATTTACTTGCAATACATTCGAATTATCAGGACTAATCATAAGCACACAATTTTCCTAGTTCGCTTCAATGATTGTATATGACTAAATCGGAATTTCGAAAGTATAGTTGAGCTTGAAAAGTATTCGACATCGTCAGTTATATAATATTCGTTTCATCATGCGATAAAACGAACTGCTAAGCCCGTATTTGACTAATTATTTCAGAAGTCATCCTAAAATAAACATGAACTTTTCAGACTTGGAGTTTACGGCTCCGTAATTATAAAGTCATGACGGAGAAATGCAACGGGCGAAAAAAATTGTACCGCATGTTTGCCTGAAGCAGTTGCCGTTTTTGTAGGTATTGCATAAGTTGTTGCGTGGCGAGCGAGGGTTTTTACTGATGCGTATATAGTTACGTCTTGCGTTATTGCTGCTCGAGCATCGCTGTATTGAACCCGCTGAAATAAGGCGTATATTCATCTACCTAAATATATATTCGTGTAAATATTATATATATGACGTATATTCATCTATCCTCAATCATTAACATAAATTGGCATTATTTGTGTTTGGAGCGTTCTTTTCCTTTTTGTAAATACTGAACAATTATCAAAGTTGAACGGTTTCGTAATAAACGCCATTTAGGATTCCTAAAATATCCTACAAACAAGCGTGAAATTCTAACATGGTTTGTTCAAGTACCACATTTACTTCTACAATATTAATTATCGGCATAAATCAAACACGTACACGGTGATGCCACTTTCTTTAGTGTATGCGTGCTCTTACTTTAATGAGGTATCCAATACGACACTCTTCTACCAATAAATTTTGCTATAATTGTTATCACTTCGTTTATGTGTAGGCCGGAGGGCAAGCTGTCTACCAATTGAGGTTTCATTTAACAATATCAAATTCTCCTGACTATTGAGTCTACGTAATTACCTCCATGACTGCTAGTCTATGTAATTACCTCCATGACTGCTAGTCTACGTAATTACCTCCATGACAGCTAGTCTATGTAATAACCTTCATGACTATTGAGTCTGCGTGAATACCTTCATGACTATTGAGTCTGCGTAAATACCTTCATGACTATCGAGTCTGCGTAAATACCTTCATGACTATTGAGTCTGCGTAAATACCTTCATGACTATTGAGTCTGCGTGAATACCTTCATGACTATTGAGTCTGCGTGAATACCTTCATGACTATTGAGTCTGCGTAAATACCTTCATGACTATCGAGTCTGCGTAAATACCTTCATGACTATTGAGTCTGCGTAAATACCTTCATGACTATTGAGTCTGCGTGAATACCTTCATGACTATCGAGTCTGCGTAAATACCTTGATGACTATTGAGTCTGCGTGAATACCTTCATGACTATTGAGTCTGCGTAAATACCTTCATGGCGATCGAGTCTACAAAATTACCTGCACGAATATCGAGTCTAAATTAATATCTATTTGACTATTGCGTTTACATAATGATTTGTAGGACTATTGGCTCTACATATTCAATCTCCATAATGATATTCATGACTATTGAGTCAATATATTTACCTGAATGATTATACGGAGTAAAGTTGGTAGTTGCTCAAGAGAAAGCAGACTAGCAATGGCTCAGCGAAAAGTTGGGTTGATCCCAATATTTTGATTATATGTATCCCAATACGCCCAATGAAGAACAAGTCAAGCTATGGACTAACTTATCTAAATGTTTTCTGGAAAAAATATATTTGAACAAATAAATAAAAAAAGTTTATTAGAGTTTGCAAACTAAAAATTAATTTGAATATTGTCTGGAATTTGGATAAACTTAGGCTGAGCCGAGGCACTCGAACCAATGTTACGCAAACGACGCCGATGTCCAGCCATGGCTCTCCCCCTAACCACTAACTGCCGCAAGCCAGTGGCCGACTTAGAAAGTACAATACAGTCAGGGGACCAAGTCACCTCTGACCCCACGGCGACCTCCTATCCTTCACTGCCTTGTGTCATCCAACTCTACTTTCCATCACTGCCTTGTGTCATCCAACTCTACTTTCCATCACTCCCTTGTGTCATCCAACTCTACTTTCCATCACTCCCTTGTGTAATCCAACTCTACTTTCCATCACTTCATTGTGTCATCCAACTCTACTTTCCATCACTCCCTTGTGTCATCCAACTCTACTTTCCATCACTCCCTTGTGTCATCCAATTCTACTTTCCATCACTCCCTTGTGTCATCCAACTCTACTTTCCATCACTGACTAGACCATCTTTGTTTGTTTCTGTGTTTTTAGGTTTGGTGTTTGTTTGTTTGTTTATTTGTTTGTTTCAATTTCACTCGAGCAAAATGCAAAAAGGAGTAATTACTTCAAATTTTTTAGTTTTACCCTCATAAATTTGCGTAATATATCCATCACGAGGGCAGAAAATTAATAGAATGCAACACGAATTTCCTACTAGCATTCGACACTTTAGAGTTCAACATTTTTCAATGATATAGGATGATTGGAACCTATAATTCATGACTGAGCATAAATTTGTAAACTTCTATTCTAACATACATCATCATTATCTTCAGACTTGACGTATTGAGTGACATATGTTCCCGTCCTAGTGTGCCATGCAATAGTTGCATCATGAGATCCTAGCAAAGCCATATAAAAATATTCCGAACAAGCCACTATTCCCGTCACTATTGCATCTTACAATACACATTCATAGCGCATAAAAATGACCAATTAGTCGCGCGTTAGTATCATTTGCGTGCTGAACCTCCTCCCTCAGAACGTAAGGGGCTTTTAATTGGCCATCCCAGCCTTATATGCGTGCGGTTAAACATTTTTTTACGTTACGTTAAGACACTATTACGACTCTTTAGGTACGTTACGTTAAGACACTCTCACGACTCTTTAGGTACGTTACGTTAAGACACTCTTACGACTTTTAGATACGTTACGTTAAGACACTCTTACGACTCTTTAGGTATGTTACGTTAAGACACTCTCACGACTCTTCGGTACGTTACGTTAAGACACTCTTACGACTCTTAGATACGTTACGTTAAGACACTCTCACGACTCTTTAGGTACGTTACGTTAAGACACTCTTACGACTCTTTAGGTATGTTACGTTAAGACACTCTTACGACTCTTAGGTACGTTACGTTAAGACACTCTTACGACTCTTTAGGCTGATGGAGAACTTGGGCTCGCCTATGTTGCGTCTTGTGCGTCACTCGTTCAGTCAAATTAAGCCCGACATTAAGTGGGCGAAAAGTGTTCTCCAAATCAACG